TTTTTTTTTTTTTTTTTTTTTGTTAAAATACGATAAGAGTGTACGATATAGAATCACTCACAGAAGTGATTTCCAGGTCCAGCATAGTGATGTCCCTTATAAGCTGCGAACAGTCCGGGATTGATACCAATCTGTAAAGTAAGACAAATATGTTAGAATATTTGAAAACATTTCTAGACTAGTCATTTTACAATACTAATAATAAAGTCTGAACAAATCGCGAATATATGATTGCATACGCGTTCGCGCTAGCTGCAGACAATTGTTTTATATTGTTATTTTAATTAGCTACATTGAGAGAGCTAATACAAAAACAAACGGATGTTCTTAAGTCTCTCTAGCGTCGACGTCGCTGTATTTGTTCCGCTTTGAAAACTTCTCGGATTCTCCTTGCTCTTCCCCTCGTCTAGAAATTATTACTCATACTTATTTTCGTGTTTCGAAATTATTATCTCTTCGTATCTTCGACTTTTCGCCGAGTTTTTTCAAATCCAACCGAGGAAAAACGCCGAGGAGAGACGAGTCGCTTGCGTCACGCGTTGTTGTCGACGTAATTAATTTCGCTTTCTACCGATTGTCAAAGCCAAGTCCAAGACTTTGGAGGAAAAAACATTTACTTCACCGATGTTTCTCTCGTTTAACACGTGGGGTGTTATAACAAAATGCACGCGTAAACGGGAATGAGAATCGATTGTAAATCTGTATAGTGTTAATTAAAGCAGACTGTGGCGTGATTGATTATGTATATAAATGCAATGTGATGAAAACTAAGCAAATTATGTTGATGGTACGAATTTAATGAGAGCATATGATGAATAAAACTTTATCGAATCTGTACGCGTCTTTGAAAAATAATATTTTTTAACGGTAGAACATGCGCCGTCCGATCGTGGTTATAAATAAAAAAGAAAAAATGTATAATAAAATCAAGCATATATTATGGAAATACGGTTTGAATGTGCTACATGCATAATGTTTAATTTAGCTCCCAAAGCTTCCAAAAAAGCACGTTCAACGAGAAATTGCGTGCGTCCATATTATATGCGACAAAATTAATTTCGCCATTACGAAGGCAATACCTACTTCAATGGAGCATTTTTAATCTGCAAAATACAAATTTCCAAGCTGCTCATCTTTCGTCTAGCTTGCAGCTCAGCAATTCTTTTATTCGATCATGAAAGATATATTTATTGAACACAATTAAAAACTACTGTATTATTAATACGTTTCATTCGTCGATGATTAGAAACGGGACAAATACTTTGCATCTCCGAACAATTCTACCGTAAGATCTCATCTATCGTCACCTACTTTCAATACTCTTTCCAATTTTACTCGATTTCCTATGAATATAACCGCGTCAGCAGATTGCATTGGAACAATGAATTCTTTTTCAAAATGAAAAATGGGATAATTGAAACCTTTGAACATATGAAACAAAGCGATGATTCTCTGGTGTTGAAATTAACAAATCTTTTTCAATAATTTTCCCCGAGCATTGAACGAATACTTATCTCTTTTCAATGATTTTGTAATAACAATTTTTAATATCGTCATTAAAAAAAAAGGGGGAAAAAAATGGAATGAAACGCGTAATGTAATAATTCCAATTTGCTCGACTTTATTAAATAATATTAGTGGTTATTTTAATTCATCCACGCTTAGTTAATTTCCTACGTTTTCTCTAGTAAAAGGGCTTTCCCGTTTTGTGCGCCTGTTTTTCGCGTAAACCGAATTAATTAATTAAACTTAATCTCTCGCGCGCGCACGGCGATACACGGTGCACTTCCGTACACGTATTCCAGTGTCTCGAAATTGAGGAAGAGAAAGAGGGAAGAGAGAAGGGATCGATTTCTTTCCCCGTTTCGCGTACGACTTCACGTGCGCGCTTCTTACTCGCGATTATGCAACGGCGCGGCGGGAGGGAGGAGGAGGTGGAGGAGGAGGAGGAGGAGGAGGCGCAGGTGCGGCGTTGGTACCTGTTGCACAACCGCATTATCTTCGCTCCTCGCTCCGCCGGTTAGGTAATTAATAACGACAAAGTCCAAGGATACGTGATGTGCGCGGCCGCGCGAGCACCATTAGGCGCGCATCTCGCGCGCTATTAAACCTTCCTCCTTCCTCCTTCCTCTTCTCCTCCGCCGATGTACTCCCGCGCGCTCTCTCTCTCTCTCTCTCTCTCTCTCTCTCTCTCTCTCTCTCTCTCTCGACTTGCAACTGACCTTTTCGCAAGTGCAAGGTGCGCGCGAGAGGACTGTACCGCCGCCGGGGAATCTCGTGTCGTAACTTATCGACGTTTATCTCGCGCGTAGCCACGGCGACGCGACGTCCGCCGTCGTCGTCGTCGGTAAATAGAGATTAACATTCACCACGCAACGGAACGGGCCGTATACTCCTCGGGATAATTGCATGACAAAGTGCACGTCCGCGGAGCTCACGTGTGTGCACGTGCGCGCGCGCGCGCGCGCGTTCCATTAAGAATCGCGACGCGTCTCCGCGAGGCTATGCGCGCGGGATAGGATCGGCGGCTGATTACTTTGAATTCCTCTGTTCTCGCCTCTGTTTAACGCTGCATTATCGAAGCCCTCGAGGATGCTGTTATGAAATCGCACCTTGTGAAACAAGTCGCGCATTGTTAGGGTAATTAGATAAGAATCGAAACGCGGGCCGCGATGCATATCGAAGGAATTTCTGTGTGTTCTAATTTTAGCGATTTGGAAATCGATAGCCTGACTTTCCTACGTCGTTAAATATCGCAAGAGCCCAGGGATGGTAACCCTCGAGTTAAACAATATTATTCGTTATTTTTAACTTTCACGCGTCAAAATGTAAATCAATCCATTTCCGTGGTCAGTTTCGAAAGTAAACAACGTCCATATTAACGATCGCACTTAGTAAATAAACTAAATTCGAGTCGAATTTAATACATTTTCTTGAGTTTAATTGTCCAACTCCATTGTGGGTGTTCCAGTTAAATTAACGGCATATTAAATAGCAGCGGTGACCTATAGAAATAATTATAAATAACTCAAATTGGTTAGAATTCAACGTTACAAACTGTATGCATTCAACAGCGCATATGTATATTCCCGAAAAAATGATTAATACAAAAAAATGGGTGTATTTTAACGTGGCGCTAAAGCATCGATACGATTTACAAGTTTGCCAAAGTATTTTTTTATAATAGTTGTTCTCCATATGAAGCGCGCGTCTTTGAAGCACGCGTGGCGTGCGCAACACATGCTTCACGCGCCTCCTGAGGCATCCCCGCGTATCTCCGCGATTCGGGTAATGCATTTCTCGATCGCACCTTCGATCCCGATCCGAGAAGGGAGGAAGAGCGGGAGAAAGAGAGAAAGCCATGGTACGACGCATACGTATATAGTATTATATATCGCACCGTCAAAATCCCCCGTTATATTAATCGCGTACGAACGAGCCCTCCTCCCCCTGGCTGTACAACCCAAACCCTCCGCGCGTACGTAACGTGCGTGTATGTTTGCGTGTGTCTCCATCCCCATTCCCCGCAGCTCGCCGTCGACATAAAGTACGTATCGCATTAGCGCGTTAACGCCAATGCGTTAGCCGCTCGGCCGGCGCCGAATGGCGGCCGGGATAAACGAGGATAAAATGACGGGCGGGGGTGGTGGCCACGAGGTGGTGGTTGGACGTGAGGAAGGGTGTGGAATTGTCACCGATTGAAAACAACGCGCGTCGCTCACGTAGGAACGGAACGCAGCGAGGAAGAGAGACGGATAGAATTGAGAGGAGACAGAGGGGAGGAGGGGAGGAGGGGAGGAGGGGCGGGCAAGCAGGCGAGGGAAAGGGGAGGGGGAGGGAGGGAGGGAGGGTGATCGCGCTGGGGGTGCACAAGGGGGTGCATTCTATGGGGAGCAGCGAACAGTGTCCCGCTGCGTTCGATTACAACGTCGGGCGTAATAACCGAATTGCCCACGGCCCGTTAAAGCGTTTACACCGCTTGACGGATGATCGACCACGGTGACAACTCGTTTCGGGTAATATATGAATATGGACCGTAGAGCGCGTTAACAGACTCCCCGGATGAAAATGGCCGACAGCGTTCGTGCCTTATTTTGCGATAAATAACGTGCGTGCCCTTTCTCGCGGGAAGAAAGAGAGCTTACGAGAACGAGCTGGAGTTTTCTCTCCGTTCACCAGCGACGTTTCGAGTGCTTAAAAAAAAAAAAAAAAAAACAAAAACAAAAAAAAACACCCTCGCGATGACCCAAATTACGCGCGTTGCAAAAATTGAGTTAACTCGAAAAAAAATTCATGCACGATCGGACAAGTCGACAAGTTTTTAGAATCATTATTATTCAGCATTTTCGAATTATTCCGTATACCGTGAGATATGTACAGGGAGAACATCATGTAATACTATAGTAATTAAATTTTTAATATTTGTACACTAAATTAATCGACAAATTGCTTCGATAATACGCTCTCGCTCATCATAATACTACATAATTGCGCGCGCTGTCAAAAATATGACAATTTCATTATTCTAAAGAGAATCGGGGCTTGAATATAAATCGAGCTACGTTGCGGGGATGTTGTGATACGATTAAAATACTGAAATCGTTACGAGCCTCTCGGTTCCGTCATTTAAGTCACCCCAATTTTGATAACGACGGCCGCATATCGGATTATAACAATCACTCGTAATGACCATGATGCTCACCCGTTAAACTGTTTATACCCGTTTACACCGGTATCGGGTGATCGATCAACGCGCGGCGGGTCGTCGCGTTTGTAACGAGAACGTAATTCCCATTCTCTCGCTTGCATTCAATAAAGATCACGCTAACGCGCGGTGACGAAAATGACACGTACGTAGAACGGAATCGTCCGAAATTGTTTTCGGATTTCAACCGATCGCAATGTCGATTCTTTATCCGTCGACGAATTCGGAATGATAACTCTCTGACGGACAATTTCACTTATCACGTCTGACGACACTCTTCTCATTCTACGAGAACAACTCCGATTCAGTTTCATCTCTGAAAATATATATTTCGTGCTGTTGAACAATTAATAACTTACTTGTTGTTGGTTTCGCCGTGTTAATTAAGTTTAACCTTCTAATTAGGTTCAGTCTTTCCTATAATTCTCTCTAGTTTCGCAAAAAGACAAGAAGTCAACCAAGATTTAAGTTTCCCAACATTGGCGAAACTGGCCGTGTGGTCAAACAATTTCCAGAGTTGCCACAAAACTGGAAATCAGGGAAATCACGGGATTGTCAGGGAAATTGGAAGCGGTCAGGAAAATCAGGCAAAAGTCAGAGGATTTTTTTTTTTTTTTGCAAAACGGGGAAAATAAAAATTTTCACTTTTAAAAATACATTTAATACGTTCATCGTACCTTTGGAAAACTAACCAAATTAACAATAAAAAACACAAACAATCGGTGTAACGTTAATAGTAATTTATATTGCTATATAAATTTTTCAACAAAATATTTAACGATTTCCAAGTCGGAGAACGAAAATACACAAAAATTTTTTAATATCATGAAATTCTATTCTCCTGGAAATCAGAGAAAAGTCAGTGGAATTTTCGGATGAGGAATTTGTGACAACCGCGAGTTTTTCTCCCTTGTTCTCTCCGCCTCTCTCTCTCTCTCTCTCTCTCTCTCTCTCTCTCTCTCTCTCTCTCTGCGCTGACGGAACGCAATGACCGGCGTGCCGCGTGATAACCGAATCGCACACGGATCATTAAAGCGATTAGGCCGGCTGTTGTGGAGGCGGCGATTGCCATTTGTCGTTGCCGCGTGCAGAGAATCCTCGCGTTTTCGCGCGGCGCGGTGACTCCAAGATGGATTCTCGCGCTGGTTAAAGCCAAGCCGAGCCGGGCCGAGCCGGGCCGCACGCGCGTATCGGATTAATTACCGTCATTCGATCAAGAACGACATCGCGGCGCATTGGTAATGCGGCATTACAAATGACACGCACGGCCGCGATATATGCCGGGCTATAAATTACGGCGCGTACACGCGGTGCGTACCGGCAGAAATGCGTGAGCCGGTGAAATTGATGTTTTCTGTTATTGTTGATGTTACGACGCGATTTAATGAATTATTATTACCGTTCGGCAGTGGAACGTCGCGGGATTGAAACGTCGCTTACTTAGTGCGAGACGATTCGCGACAGCCTCGCGAATAATTCAATTTATCGATATCTGGATGATCCGTTTGAAACGCGCGCGTGCTCTATCTGGTATTCCGCATGTATTGTTAGCTGTCTAAAGCACCTTTAATGTAAAGTTATAGCCACGCTTATATATGTACATGGTATATAGAATGTTCTCTGGAAATTTACACGACTTGACAAGATGACGCAATATTGATACGTGATAAAGAACAGCTCTGTAAGTCGTAGGTCAGTTTAGGTCGCATTTATATGAATCGATATTAATATGAAATAATTATATCCTCTAATGAGAGTCTGAACTTAAGAAAGCCACTTTTAGTCATGTTTTAATAATTTATGAGAGAGAAGAAGAGAGAGTAATAGATGAAAAAAAAAAAAAAAAGATACAACAGAATGAGGAAGAGAAAGAGACGGTAAATATATGTCCTTCTCTCTCGCAAACTTTTATCGTTAACTCCACCACTCTGCACACAAAACTTCGGCTCTTGTCCAAACTCTTATTTGAGAGTCTCTCTCGAAATAATTATACGTGGACTTACTATAATAATGTCAAGGTTGTTGGTGAGATGGTCCGGTAGAACGCGTTTGCTCACTTCCTCTTCCGGCATGCCGTCGAACCTGTCGTGCTTCTTCCTCTCTTTGTACGTCTTTGCACGTTTCTTGGCCTCTGCGAGTTCCGCTCTGAAAGAAAGAAAAAAAAGTAAAGTGGATACAGAGGGCCTTAATAATACGCTGGATTCCTTTATGCTGCGTCATACGATTCAGCGAAAGGCGCGCAACTATTTCTCTCGATCGGCAGGGGACACGCGGGCTTTCCGCGTTTGCTTTTTGTCAAGCCGACGAACTCGCGGACACTTCGCGTTTCGATTTGTGACACTGTAACACAATGTAACGTTTTGTATCGGCCTGGGACTTGTAAGCCGTCGTGAATACGTCGGGATGAATAAGCTTGGATCTCGCAAGATAAAATGACGATGGCAAAATGCAATTTTTACGAACTTTACTTTTTTTTTTTTTTTTTTAACAAAACATACTTGGGTAATAAAACGTTATGAAAATACAACAAAAGTACAGTAAAAAAATCATATAGAAAGCTACAGGAGTCAATCTTCGGTTGTTAAAGGTTTCGAGATATACATTTAATTATAATAGCAATATCATATTTCGTACGTTTCGACTCCTGTCTGTTTGAGTAAGAATCTATATATACAGTTTTCTCTCCTTTTGTATGCGACCATTGTGGAGCATTCGCGGGGTAAGAGCAAGTTATCCAACACAGTTAGTAAGCTGAATGGCGATAAAGACTCAAGCTGTAATTTAAAAAAATCGTTGGAGAAGGTAAAAATGGTAGAGGACAATAGAAATGAAAATTCTGTTCACGGAGTCACAACAAGGTCACAACGAAATAACGATACATCGTAAGTCACGAGAGAATAGCAGAACGTCATCGTAAATTAAAATAATAAAATTTAGAACGGATCAAAAGCATGTCTTGACAGTGTCATGTTCACTCCGTTAATAAAACGGTGATGTGTAACAGAGGGATCAATCTTGAAAACAATAACATTTTACACTTTATTATTAAGTATCTCTATGTAAGCGTGGCTTAAGAATTCCGTGTCAGTTTGTAAATTACACCATTAGTCTGTCGATTAATATTATAACACATTTCCGACATAGTTTCCTGTAAAAAAATGCTATGAAAATAATTTTTTTGATATTCTGCAATATAAGTGTTAAAAACGCGAATAAAATTTAATGTGAGTTAAAGTATTTTGTAAATGTTAATTAGCGTAGTTCTGCAGTGAGATGTACAATAGATGAGTGACCACGTTAATTAATATAGTTGCGTACGCCGTTCTTTCCTTCAAATTTTACGCAACAGTAGTGCGCAATTTCGTAAGGAAAAAAAAATTGAGAAGAAACGGAGTAGAATATTTGTACGTTTGGCATAAATGGGCCTTTGTGTTTAGCCACGGGGTATTCAATTAAATAGACATACCGATATATGTACAACGTGTCAAGAGGGCATGAATAATTCTCTCTTAAGATCTTCAATTAACGTCTTAATCGGCGCGTTATCTCCTAACGTGTCTTCGTAATAGCGGCACGCATCTGATCGTGTTACGTTCCTAATATGCGGAACTATTTTTAAGTTTTCGGCCGGCTTCACAAAAGTAAGCGCAAGCTGAAGATCCTATCGGATCAGTAACATGGTGCCCGGTCAGACGGACATTGTTAGCAGAGCGGATATTTTTAACCGTGGCTGCATGCAAATATATAACTAACTCTGGTTATATTGAGTCGCGGCTTCGTGACCGGCCCGCGTTCCTTCTCAGTTCCGCTCCTCTTCGTACTCGTTAACGTACTTGTAATAATAATAATTATTATTATTATTAATATTCCTTTACTATAGATAGTAAATTCTGAACTCAATTTGCAAAAGTGTTATTTAATATCAACTTTGGCTTAATCCCGTCTGGCCATGTTGGTGGATAAACCATACATGAAAATATGATATTTCACGATGCTTATCCTTAAAGGGTTGAAACCGTAAATGAATCTTCACGTTCGCGCAGTCAACCTCACACACCCGTGAACGATATTTCGCGGTGGGCTTTTACAATGAATTTTCGAATGAAAACTCTTCTTAAATAGCGAGTCTTACGACGCACCCGGCAAGTCTCGGCCTTAGGCCTTGTGTATAAAAAAATTCTCACGATTACGCAAGCATAATGTAATTGAATTGTGAAACAAGAGATACATAATTTTCGCAAAATATCAAAAAAAAAAAAAAACTATTTAGAATCACGAAGTTAGTATAATCGCAGTCGTTGACAATCGCAATTGATTATACATGTTAGACTCTTACTCTTCGGGGGTGAGTATCATCTCTGACTTTTTTTTGCGGCCTCGCTTCTTCGGCTGATGCGCCAGCTGCGGATTGACGTTGGCGGCGCCGTTCATCACGAGATTCATCTGATGATGTTGTGGCCCGGACAGCGCCCCGGGCGGCGTCGTGGGTGTACCTAGCCCAGGTTGGACGCCGCCCGGACACGTCATGCTCTCAGGATTGCCTCCGCCTCCGCCACCGCCGCCGCCGCCGCCGCCGCCGCCGCCGCCGCTGCCTGGACTGCTTGCTGTCCTTATGCCACCCATCGACATCTCTTCGTCGACAAACGAATATGGGTCCACCGGCGTCTCGCATTTTATCGCGACCTGAAAAAGAATGTCAGCGGACGTAGACGTAGTTGGTAGATAGACGTTGAGCTTATTATACTCGGCGCCGTTGCGTCCCCGCTGGGATAATGCACGGATTTCGGAACTTCCTCAACCAAATGGTACGGAAGTGCCCAGAGATCAAGGACGGAAGATAGGAAGATTAGAGGGAGCGTTTGACGTTTCTGTTTCTTCGTTGAGTATTTCAATTTCTACGGAGAGCATCTTGATTCATTAATTAAAAATCAGAAATCACCGTATCCAATGTATAATCTATGAAAAATTATAAGACCTGAAATATTTCACGGATAAATTCCGATGCGGTGTTTCTTCATTGCGATATTAAGGGTAGACCATATTACCGTTATATTTACTGACCGAATTTCTCCCGCGTTTTCCTGAATAATACATGCGGGCGGAAGAAAGAAAAATGCTGGCGCACCAGTCGCGGCGAATTATCCTTGTGATATCTCGAATCGCGATGACGGTTGATGTTCCAGCCTAATTTAATTCTACCTCGAAATTACGCCGCGAAATTTTTCGTCGCGTCCGCAAGTTTCGCAGGTGGTCGGCTGCGGAAAAATGAAATTTCTCCTGAGCACGTACAATCCCGACGTAAAACATGTACCGACGATCACGAACACGTACAGTGGCGATCATAAAACGTACCCCAGCCGGCGCTATATGTATGTATATTTCTCTCTCTCTCTCTCGCTCTCGCTCTCTCTCTCTCTCTGTTCTGTCTCTCTTGATGCCCTTGGGGAAATAGTAATAGCGCAATTGCCACATGGACCGAAAATACGCGGCCACGTACAACGTATCAGCCATTCGCGGTTGTAAAATGTGCAGCTGTGTCTCTTTTTTTGCAAATTGCGCGTGTTACGGACTGACGCGATCACCGTTCTTCTCCCGTTGCATTTTTTGTACCGTCTGCTTTTTGCATTAGCTAAAATCAACTGAGGTTTCAGTGATTTTCTACCTCTTTTTGAATATGAAATTAGAAAAAAGTAGAGGAAGATTCGTAACAATTGGCTAGATGAGCTAATTGCTTTGGATGAATGACAAGCTTTATAAGAATTGAATATCTGACAAGATGTGAAACGCGCACGTCAGTAATATAAAGGAGGTCAAATTATCTGGAAAGTTCCTTACGTCGATAGAGTTTTGTCGTGGTGATATTAACGAGGTTGGTATTAGATGATTAACGCGACAGGTATCCAAGTGACGTTTTGTTCCCTGACTCTTCTCGACGTTCGCGCAAAAATCCGATATCGCGGACTAAAATAAATGCTTCAAGCGCTATCCCGCCCGATGAAATCAGAAATTATTCAACAAGCCGTTATTGTATTCTGAAGGCTGTCAATAATGCGATAATTTAGCGTATCAATATTCGTATATTCACCACTCTTAATTTTAAATGTTCTCGCTATCATTAGTTCATTTTAGCAAATGTGGATGTGGCGAAATATTTCAATTCGCGAAAATATTTGCAATTGGCGAAAACGCAACGTCTACTTCCCGTGTCTATTTTCGTTCAGAAATATATAAGAAGAACAGTTGCTTTTGCAACGAGTCGCATTTAACGTTCACTCGGGGAAAGAACCCCCCGTTGCTTTTTCAACGCCCACGGAAATGAAAGCATAAGAGATTACGTGAATCCGACCGGAGGTTTTGTTTTTTATCGCAATACACATAAACATACTCTCGTTTGCAATTTTCGACCGCAAGTCTCCCGGCCACTGTATGGTGCTTTCCTAGTCGGCATACCCGCGCTCTTGACCCGGTGATAACCCTGCGAAATCGAGGTCGAAATCCCACGAAGATAAGAGCCGCACTGACTGGTAGTTACCGATAACACGTTATCCCTACCCTTTTTCACAGGGCTCGGGCTTCGCTCGAAAGTCACCGACGATATTCCACACGATAAGAACATACGTTCGCTCATGCCCCATTGTTATTATTTTGCAAACAAAAGGACCGTGGCGAGTGTCGCGAATGTAACGCACAGATTTGTTTTACCCGGCGATGTTAAAGCACAATATTTGCGTTTAAAAAATAGGTAAATATAGGAAATTTTTATTGCGAGACACTGCGCGAAGGATGTTTGTTTATTGATTTGAAGAGCCATTAATCTATACGTTTCGGGAAAATATCCGTCGCGCCGTTGCGTTGCGATAATAAAAGCAAAAACGTACATCTCCGCTTATCCAACTCCTCTTTTTCGTCTGTGTCTTTCCCAAGCAATAATTGAGTTACATTCAAGAGAAAAAAAATCAATTACGTAAAGAAAAATATATAGACAAGTCGATATACACACACACACACACACACACACACGCACGCACGCATAATAATTCGATTTTATTAA